GTCTATGATGTGCACACTGCCCAGTCACAGCAGTCCAGTCTATGATGAAGAGGTGTGGCTGGGGCTAAACCTGATGAACAATGTTTTTCTATTGATCTTGGAACATATTCAGCAAATCTGTAACTAATGATGATTATTTAACATGAGAAACATAAAAATCAATTCATGTTATGACTGTGATTATAATCTCTGGTTAAACACACAGAAAAGTCACCTGTGGAGTTTAGTTTTATTTTCAAACAGAAAACACATTAAGATATTACAAAATTTAAGTGATTTAGGAGTACCTAGGGAGTCTCACTCCCTGTCCCCTGGGCACAGTGGCTGGTTCCCAGACTAAGAAGCAACCAGCAGTGCCGTTAAAAAAAATCTTGCCAGAAATACCCTCTGCAGTTAAGTATGTCTCTTTTATAAAGTGAATGGAAGCATTCTGCCCATTATCTGAGTGCCCTTATTATACCTTAGAAATTATTTCATTATTCTTTTCCTTTTTCCAAACAGCAGCACCAGTTTCTACAATATGGGTTGATTTAACCGAACTGGGAATTAAGAAGTATCTCCAGATAGACCCTAAACAGATGGCACTGAGTTACAGCCATGGTTGGGAATCGCTGCCCCATGATTATGATGTCTTACCTGTATCAGTAAATGACTGTATATCATATGTCAAGTCTATGTTAACACTTTCTGCATTTTCTACTCTCCGAAAAATTATTCCGAGGAACCACATTGATACGTAATTGTTGCTATAAAGAAAAACATTTTCATTAGTTTTTTCTTTCAACCTAACAAATGCTACTGGAAAATTAAAACTTAGTTTCTATTTCTCTACCTGATTAATAGATTTCAGTGATGTAGCCAAATTCTTAAAATTATATCCAGAACATTGGTGTAGTCGTTTAGTATTGTTTTAAAAGAAAATTAAATAGTACGGAAGAACTTACTGAACATATATTTAAAAGATGTTTCAAGCACTACTATGGAGTTTTGCTGAGGTTACTAACTATTGCACTACTTATATAATAATACACGGTCACATGTGTCATTCCTCCATCAATGTCTGTTAAAGACAATCTTAAAACTCACTAAAACAATGAATATGTCAAATAACATTATTTAAGACATTTATTTAAGGGCAACTTACGCTTTATGATGTTCTTTGTTTCCTGGGAATGACTGGGGATTCACATGGGCAAGAGTAATAAATTCATTACGTTCCAAGTTTCCAACAAGCACACGGATTTTAGATTCCACTAATCCAACCCTGAGGTAAACAACAAGATTTCTATAAACTCAAATTAAACCTGACAATTATACTAAAGTAAACCAAGTAATACATCAACTACCAAGTTTTGTATGTTCACTTAAAAAATAAAGTCCAATTATAGTAGAGATTTTTAAAAATACCAATTGGTATAGCAACATGGCTCAACAGGTCACAGTGTTTGCCATGCAAGGCTGACAACCCCAGTTGGAGTCCTGGAAGACAACAGTGATATCCACTTACATGCTGTGGCACAAGCAGACTCTCTTACTAATAATAATAATAAAAAACATATATCAAGCATATGTCAAATTTAAGTGACTTTCTGCTTATAGAAGAACTGACCTAAATTTAATGCATTTCTGACTATAAAAATACCCTGGTTAAGTCTAAAATAATAAGGATTTGAGCATAAACTAAAACTTTTATTTACTGTATTCTTCAATCATTTCTACTTTCATATCTTTGAGTAAACTCTAGACTACTTTAAATAATATAAACCAAGAGAAGCTAACATATGCACATAATTCTTGAAATAAGCATACTGATTTTCACAAAATACTGGATTTTGCATTTCAAAAGTTCACTAAATTTAAATAAGATATTAGAAAAACATATAGGTGCCACCAGATTTTTACAATTTAATGTTCTCTTAAGATATATGACTATCTGCTATGTATTTATTAGTGACTATAAGAATAATTTCAAGAATACTTTTAAATATTTTCAAACACTTACAAAAATTCATTATTATAACTGAGTTATTGCAGTGTTGTTACCTAAATGAGAAATAAATTTCTCTACTAGTACCACACATCTTTTAGGCTTTTGAGCTGTATGGTCTCTGTGCAACTATTTACTTTACCATATAGCAGAGAGTAGTATTCAACAACGTATTAATGAAGGAAGGACGGGTGTGTATCAAAAAGATCTCCTAACAAATGACAGACTGAACTTGCCGTAAGCTATAGTTTCCAGGATTTCTTATCTAGACAAATTAAATACTGCATCAATAAAAAAAATGTAATTATCAGAGAAATAAAAACCCTTAAAGTGACAAGTCAGACTGGAAGAAAATACTGGGAGTACAACTTCTGCCCAGTGGACCCAGGAATGTGAATATTCTGAGGGCACAGGGAATGGATTTAGATGTCCTAGAAAGAAATAGACTGCAGCTTGACCAAAAGTATTGGCAGAAACTAAAATTATGACACTTGTGCTACCTCCTCCTAAATTAAAATGATACATAAAGTGTCTTCCCTTTGAGTTTTGGAGGGGAACAATAATATAAGATGTAGATGGGCATCAGAACTTCTAAACTTCACTGCATTCTGACTCTGAAAATGAGCAAGTACACTCTGCATCACAGCCTCCTATCGCTGCTGATGCTCTCTGGATCCCTGACTCTCCGTCATGGACCCCGGTGTCCACTAAACATACTGATTATGAAAGCCAAGCAAGTGGTAAAGCCCACGAAACTATTGATATCATCAGACAGTGCATACGAGAACTTGAAACCTAAGTCTTACCATTCTAGATGGTTTTCTTCCGTTGATGCACTGGCAGTCAATACTATATAATGCCTATAAAGGATTTGCAGCAATAATCAGGGATTTAAAAAGTCAGAAACATCATTAATCTCATTTTTTAAAATCTATTTTTCTTTCTTCTTCCCAATGAACAAAACATGTACAGAGTGTCTAAAAGTTACAGTACATTTTATTTTCACAAAACCATAGACCCCACAATTAAAAACTAACTCACTTTAAAAATTATCACAAATGCTGGACTAGCTACTACTAAAATGAGGGCTCTGTGATGACTTAGGGTTTCTATTAGTCTATTTTCTACCTTGCTATCATAATTAGCTTTCTAAATTTAAACTCTTATTGGACATGTGCTGGGTCACACATGTGCTGGCTAACTCTACCACTCATGAGGATGAGGCAGGAGAATCACTGTAAGTTTCAGGCCAACCTGGGTTACATAGTAAGTGTGTTCCAGGCTAGTCTGGAATACACAGTGAGGCTCTGACTCCTGAATGAATGAATGAATGAATGAATGAGGGTCCAACAGAATGGTTTCATAGGTAAAGGTGCTTGTCACCCGGCCTGATGACATGAGTTCTAAGACCCATGCAGGTTGTCCTCTGTCCTCCACGTGAGCACTATGGCAGGCATACCCAGTCATGTACAACCTAGCCCCCTTTAAAACAAAAATGGTAAACAACAACAACAATAAAAAAAACCCACAAAAATAAGACAAAAAGTTGACATTTTTCCCAACGTTTAAATACCTGTATTTTTGAAAGAAATTTGGTGGCTCTAATAGTTTGGACCAGTCTGATTTCCCTTGAAGAATTTCATCCGTAACTGCAAGACCTAAACAAAAACAAAGGGTTTTTAGAAACTAAGTCTAATTTTGAAAAATGACCAGCTCTTGTATTCAGCCAAACCATCTAACCCACAAATGCTTGACTTAGAAATGTAAAGACATTATGTTGTTTCTTGGAACACAAAAGTCAAATTCCACCAAACTGGACTGACTCAAATTTTGGCCTTAATATTATATATTTTGGAAAGCATTTGAAGTTTTACAAAGAATTAAGGGTTACAGAATTATAATTGCCAAAAAATAGCTCCAGTGTAGAATAAAATTGTCAGCCAAAAGTTTGGGAATATGTAAAGGAAAAGAGAGCCAAACATATTTACCTTGTTTAAATTCTTCTACCATTACTGTTCGAGTAGATGTAGACACATTATATGTAGAATTCTGTTGTGGGTATGCAGGGGTAATTATGGGCATAAGATGATATCTATCTGATGGATTTACCTGCAAAATCAGAAGCAGGATAATTATCTATTCCCCTGAGTAGTCATCACTTCATTTTTCCCAAAGTCTGAAGAATATGAAATATAAATTTAATATAAAATTTCCTCAATTCTAGGAAGGTATTTCTCTACCAAACTGCATTTATTTCTGAAGATAGATATACTTGTTCGTCAAAGCTCTGCAGAAATTAATTTTTCCTCAGCAAATCTATCAAATGATGCATCATACAAGAAAGCCTTTCAAAATTATAAAAATATAATAACTACAATGACATTATCTTCAATTATATATAGAAATGGGTGCCTACTCTTACTAAATTGGAATTTCAAAATTAAAAAGGAATCTATGTGAGAATTATGAATCTGCTTTAAACTGTACTGCAAAATATTATTTTTATATATTTCAGCCCTTCATTATAAGTAACTACTTGTGACGCAGTTTTTTTTATGATGGGTTATGATACTGTTTTTGATACACCCACTTATTTGGTCATATCTGGGCAACTTTTAATAATATAACACTTGGATCAACATTAAATCCACAGCAAAGGGAAACAAGAGCTCTTGCTGCATAAGAAAGGTGTGCAGGGAGAAAGGATAATCTTTAGTGAGACTGATTTAGAGTAAGGCCCTTTTCCTTAGTGAATTCTCATACCCGAGGATCCCAGACAGGCAAATTCAAGTTGCTTTCTTCTGGTTGCTTCAACAGCACAGGATTTGGCCATTCCCTAGCATAAGTAAAGTGAATTAATTCAAACAGACTCTCACTTCAGATGCTATATAAAATACTAAAAGTATTAAACTGTCTCAATCTTCACATGGCAAAGAATAAAGTACAACAGGAAGAATCTGTTTATTTGCAGAAATGGTAACAGTCCTTTGTGAGTGAGAAGCAATGTGTACTTGAATTTGTCTCTTCTTTCTCACCTGCTTTCACAGATTTTATTCTGATGATATGGTAACAGCAATAAGTAACATTTTTTGAAAATATTAGCACATGTATGAAGCAGTTATGACTATCATCTCCATTTTACCAGGCCAGCTTAATGTACAAAACCAAAATCTATGGGGATTCTACAGTCTTAAGATCTTAAGATAAGGCTCACATTTACAAACTCCTCAAGTCACCTTACTGAGTTTTTAAAAAAGAGGTACAGGGGTTATGAGCACTGGCTGCTCATCCAGAGGACACAGGCTCAATTCCCAGCATCTACATGAAAGGCTCACAAGTGTCTGTTCCAGGGGATCTGATGCCCTCTTCTGACCTCTACAGGCACCAGGCACACAAGTAGTAAACATACATGCAGGTAAAACATACACTCATATACATAAAATAAAATCAAAAAAGAAAAAGAAAGGAAGTAAAACTCAGTGTGGTGGTACACATTTGTGAACTCAACACTTAGAAAGTTGAGACAAGAGGAATGAAAGCTGTATACAAGCCTGGGCTAGAGTAAAACCCCTTTCCAAAACACTGACAGGGGTAGGGAGACAAAATCACGTCACTTGTGATAACATAGGTGATACTGAGTCGTTAACTGAAATACACAGGGCACAGGATCTCACTCATACAAGGAATCTAAAAATGTTGATCTCACAGAAGGCCAAAGTAGAATAGTAGCTGGCAGAGATAGGAGAGCAGGGTAGAGAAGAGGATAGGAGAATGTCTGTCGTGGAGATTAACTTAGAGAAGTTTTGGTGTTCTATTGCACCATAGGGAAATTACAAGTCACATTGGTCATACAATGAATCTGGATATCTCATTCTCTCAGATTAAACATGTTTTAAAGCTTTTAATGAAGGTAAAACAAAATATATATGCATTTTTTAAAAATGAAAC